CACTAGACTAATTATTTTGTTGATCCTGATCACCCTATTTTTCTTGCTTTTGGGCAACAAAGCTTCACCTTTCAGTTCATTTTATACTCTGTGGATCCTCTTAATTGTTGTATTATAATCAGATGACCGTTAAGGCCCTTGGGCCTCTTGTATTTATTTATTAGTGAAATTGGTTGAATACTGATTTACATGTGGAGAGTAGTTGGTCTCATTAATGCAGAAATAATACATTTGGTCTTCCTTATGCATACTGCATATTATATAAATTTAATGACTGACATGTATGAGGGTTGATCCAAAAGTTTGTTGAATTTCTTCATATTTTATTTATTTATTAGTGAAAGTGGTTAAATACTGATTTAGATGTGGATAGTAGTTGGTCTCCTTAATGCAGTAATAATACATTTGGTCTCCCTTATGCATACTGTATATTAATATAAATTTAATGACTGACATGTACGAGGGTTGATTCGAAAGTTCATGGAATTTCTTCATTTTTTATTTATTTATTAGTGTAAGTGGTTGAAAATTACAAATAAGAATTATATAGACACTTGTTGAATTTTTTTATTAAACAATATTTTAAATATTTATGATAGTAACTCTATGGCAGTTGCCATAGCAAAGGAATTTTGAAAATGCAGGGGAGACATTTACTCGTTCATTATCATTTTAATTCTTAATACGTGAAATAAGAAAAATCCTGCACTAAGTGGCAAATAAAACGAAAATTTTGTCATAATTATGATTGCTTGACCACTAATATACCTTTCTGTGAGAGTTTTACTGATTTAACTTGATATTTAGATTATTAGTTGATGATTTCTTGTTCATATTTTAATTGTTAGAGAACATCACATTTTGGTCAAGTTATAAGTTTTGTTAAAATCTTGGGAACACTCTGACTTAAAGGGGTATACTACTGATACAGGCTGGAGAAAAATGCATTAAGCAACTGATTTACCAGTGGCATTAGAAATTTAAGAAAAACAGAACTTCCATGGAGGTTGATTAAAGGTGTGGCCGCCTTTTGGAGGGTCTGTTTTTCTCATAGACAAATTTTAAAAGCGTTGATGGACGTTGACCGCTGACGTACTGTGCTTGACTTTGCTTCTGAAATTGGAACACCATATGCAAAGATGGGGAGTATTTTTGAAATATGAGTGTAATATTAAGATAAGTTGATTCGTGTGAGAGGATACCAAGGCTTTTCTTGAGAGAGAAAAGGAGAAAAAGGCAGAATATTCTGTAGAATTACTTAGTCGAATTGAACATGAGGGTGAGATGCTCCTATAACGCTCCTATAATGTGACATGACATACTTAACTTGACGTTACGTAGAAGTCTCCCCCTGATTTTACAACTATCAATGTTCAGAAAGCTCGTGTGACCTTATTGGTAATTGGAACATGGTGAAAATATCCAGTATTGTTGCATAAAGACTCCATATTATAAATATGCCTATTGTTTGCTTTCATCAAATCACAATAAAATTTTAGAGATAATTAAATTTCACAAACTTTTGGATCAACCGTCGTATTAGAAAAAAGATGGATCTATTAGATTGAACAGGTTATAATTCACCTGAGTCATTTAAATTACTTATTGCTATCTGTGTTTGTTCAGTCATCATGTTTCAAGTGTTGTCTGTAAACTATTGAACATTTTCAGCTTCTTTTCTGGAACCAGTTTCAACTAATTTCTCAGTTGAAGTATACAGACATAATATAGAAGTGATTTTATTGACTTTCTCAATCTATCCTGAATTTAAAAATGTAAATATAAGCATTTGATTGTAAATATTGAACATTTAGCATCTCATAACCAGAGTTGGAAATTACTGACTGCCCGAGGTAGTCTGTTTTTCAGGTAGGCAGGGACAAACTTTAGATTAACCTCGGTGGTCGAGGTCATTTAAACAGCTAGTTCCTGTTTTCCATTTTTTTTTTCAGGGTATAGTAAGTCTATAGAAAATAAGTAAAATATAGTATATCAAAGGAACACTTCTAGTTAAAAATTTGAGTTGACCTTAGGACCAATATTGGTTTCAGTCTTTAGAAAAAGCTTATCGATGTATGTTCCGATCACTGACTTTAGGCCACATGTGTGTAGTTTCTTGTTTCTCATGTATTGCTTTAGTTCTACGTTAATGGTAATCTAACAACCAAGCTTTATGACAAATGAGATGGCTTTAACTTTTCAATTGTCAACTTCCCTTACTTATTTAGCAATATACCTTCATCACCTGCATACAGGGTTTATATCTCTCAGTTGATTTGATACGAAAGAGCATCCTCTATGTTTGAAATTTTTTTAAAACGAGGTAAGTTATTGACAAACAAGTTGCTGAAACAAGAATATCAGCAGTCTTGTTTAAAGTTATCATTTTGTAAATTCTATGGTCGATACAATGACTTTGTCAGCAAATACAATTTATCATTAAGTCAAATGCTGAGTGACGTTTTTCATACTTATTGTTAGGCCATTATTTACACACTGAATTATCGATGGATTTTTCCATTGTTTCCCAGTTGTGACAAGGAGCACATGGCGTGTGTGACCGGTCTGCAGGGGATGCTTACTCCTCCATGGCACCTGATCCCACCTCTGATGTTTTGGAGGTCCGTGTTTGCTCTGCTCCTATTTTGTATTTTTTGATGGGCTTTTGAGCTTGAATACTGTTTGTTATCTCGATATATTTCATTCTAGTCAACTGTGTGTTCATATGATCCTACCTCAGTATTTACAGAATTATACATCCTTTGTATGAGGGTCATTCTTGATGTCTGACTGAGTAATGGCAATGGGACATAAAACCTTAACTGACCTTACCACATTCTTTTCTAATCTGAAAACCCTCATGCATTTTTAGCATATCGCCAATGCACACATTTTTCCCAAGGAATGAACTGCATCTACTCTGCATAGAACAGTATCTCTCCCACTGGCACAACAGTACTATTACATGTCATTATGTTCTTGAAAGGAAAACACAGCAGTTATTGCTCAGCAAGATTCTTTTTCCTGACACCTGCAGTATCGAGTAACACAAAGTGAATGATTAGTGTCCTCGAACAAAGTGTGCTTACAATGAGGTATAGTTCCGGTTGATTGCATTTAGTTAAAGAGAATTTATGATCTGCATTTCTGTAGATGTCTTTTATATCAACACCAAACATGCATTTAAGGAAGAAAATATAAGTAAAATGCAAAAGCCTGTATAAAAAAATCAAAGTGCAAGGACAAGTGCACTTAAGGAATGCTTAATGGGCCCTTTTTCAGTGCTGTATTACTTTAGAATATATTACCAAATTGTTCTCTTTTAGTAATAGTTAAACACAAGTGGACATTTCTAATTAAAATCACGCTAAAACATCAATCAGCATGGATTTGAAACAAATGAAGTTTTTTAAATGCCTATAGATCCGGAAAGTCATATCAAACCCATTTTGAGTTTCAATCGTTTATTTAAATCAAGGGGAGGAGGCATTTAAATCTTAAATCAGACACTTGAACAATCTGATGGTGGATCATTGACAGGCACATTTGCCGAATGATACTTCTTGCGCTATTTTACCCGAGAAAAAAATTGAATGAAGTTGTATAGATGCCTGTATCCATAGTGATCAAACTATGAAATTGGTATGCTTGCATTTGAAATAATGCAATAAGTATTAACATTAGTTCCTTTATATTTTAAAATGAAAAAAGGTGTATTTGGGTGGCTTTCAATACTGGTACCATCGTCTTGCTTGAATGTTAAAAATGTTTGACACTTTTATTTATGATGACATTTTAACGACACTAAACTCTCTTAACCCTTCTGTGTTCCTAACCCTCCCGTTTTCCTAAAACCAAATACATGTACATACAAACTTCTCTATGCGGCATGACTTTGATATAATGATACAAAACGTGGCTATGCTTTACAGTGAGCATCTTTGAGGAATGTTTACCTGGGTAGAACTCACGTGACTACCGGTATTTTAAATGATTTATTCCATGGGTGGGTTCAACATAGCTAGATCATACAGGTAAATCTAAGCTCTTACTTGCTATAGGAAAAACATTGAACTTTTCATACATTTTTTTAATATTTTAAGTACAAGCCTAATCTTGTACAAATTTCTACTTTCACACAAGTTTTATAAATGTATAATGCATTTTTTGTCAATCACACAAGTTTGTACAACGTTAGGCTGACAATAAACAAAAGCTTTGAAATGAATGACTGTCCTCGATTTACTATAGAAAATCACGAATGTTGGCTGACCCCTACCACATTGTATGGCTTTGCTCTTTGTATATTCATGAATTTCAGCAATAAAATTTGTTGAATTTAGGGTTTAGATATCAATTAATGATCTGAGATGGAAAATTAAGCTTAATTTGATTCTTCATTATTTCACATTTTACCGGGGCCCATAAGTGCACTCGTTCTTTAGTGTTTATACAGGTAAAAAGTTTGAAAAAATAAAAATGTGCCAACAAATGGATTCGAACAAGGACACTAAAAATGTTCATGGTGAGAGTCTGCGGTCTACCATTCTGGGCTATGCTGACTATGAGGACATTTGTAATAAATATAAACCAGTAAGATAGAAATAGGTTTTCACGTTTTTTGTAGTTTTTTTTTTTTATATAAATCTAAAGCAGGGGTACGTGCCCCTAAAAAAACCTTGTTTTAAATAATTGCTTAAATCAAAATCTATCAAAATTTCATAATTTAATTTAGGGGCAGGCAAAGGGTGATTATATTGCATCTATCGGGTATAAATTTTCTTATCAGAAAATTGTAGAGATATGCAAGGTTAATTAATGACAACATTTATTTTTCATTTTTGCCTAATACTTTTATGATTTTCACTAATAAATTGATGATTGAAAAAAGCCTTTGAATAGACTGCTGATTTTATCTCCATCTGTTAATTTTTAACACCTTTTCTCGTGATTATAGGAGATAGAGAACAGATTATGATTTCTAACATTTACTGTTACAGATCATTTCCTTGAGATAGGTGGAACCAACAGTCAAATCCAGACACCTTTAAGAAAAGTAAAAATCTGACTCAGGTAAAAAAAAAATCATTTACAGTTTTATCAATTAGTAATTTTTACCTTAATTAACTGGACAAATCTCATTTGACGATATACAGGTCAAGAATGAAGAGTTTAAAGCCTAGTAGGGATTTTGGTCAATCATAACAGGTAATCTGCAGCCCCTATTGGGAATTTTACACTCATATGGAGACGCCACCACTTGCCAGTGGAAAGCTGCAAATTCTGTCCTATACTCTGCACTCACAGCCATTGAGCAGTGAGGGTCCTTTTTCCTGCCAGCACCTACTGCGACATGGGACCTCAGTTTATAAGGTCTCATCCGAAGGACTGGTGTCCACATCCCACAGTGGGATTCAAACCTGTGATGTAAGGATCAATTCCTTACTTCGTGACTCTAGAGCAGACGCTTTAACCATGGCGCCACGCTTGTGACTAGCTCAGTTTTAAAGAAATCATTCAAGATATTTTTTATCAAACTTAATATGCTGTAAGATTAGTAAGACCTATTCAACTATTTCAAAAATTTTTGACCTTTCCTGTGACCTTGACCTCACTTTTCTTTAATTTGCATCTTGCATGGTTTTAAACCATTTAAGATATTGTTATCTAAGGCTATGCATCTATACATAATTTGGTGAGAACTTATCATCTATTCATTTTTTTTTAAATTTTTATTTCAATTTTAAAGAAACTTTTCAAGATATTCTCATCAAACTTCATATACTAACACAAAATTTCATGTTGCATTACTATACACTCAGCGGGGCATTCATGGCCTATGGACATATTTCTAGTGTAATTTGCTATTTCTGTTGTTTACTTTCGGTCAGTAAGTGCCCCCAAAGGGCAAGCCCCAGTCCTATTTTCTTTTCCAGGGTTGCAACAGCGCCCCCTAGAAAAACAAGTTGCACCATCCAATCAAATCTTGTTTTGTGCTGCTTTATGCCAATGAAATTAAGGCTGGACAGCATATGTATTATATTCTGACCAATGGGGTTGCCGTATTTTCAAATAATTAGGATAGACTTACCACTTCAGCATTCCTTTCATCACTGAAGTGATATGCATGCTCAAAAATTGACTAAGTTTCATTTTTGTGTCAACTGCAGAGCAGAACGACACTTAGAGATCACTTTACCTGGTGTCTGTCTGTCCGTCTGTCACACCTTATATCTCCAAAATTTTTAGAGGCAGGGTTTTGATAATTAGCATTTATATATGTTTTTGAGCTCATGATACTATACTTTGAAACTGTATGAAATTCAGTTACCACAAACTTATTTAAATACTATGAAAATACATTGGGATCAGTATTCTACAATGAATCGTGTTGACTGACAAAGTGACAAAGTAAAGACAGTCTGAAATCTCTTTCCTCCGAGGATTGTTGGAAGCACCTACATGTGTATTAATAAAATGATAAATAGTTATTCATCATAATTTCAATTTAATTATTCATTTGAGGACTGGGGAACTATATTTTTTGATTGCCAGATTCTATCCCAGTCTTTTACTTTTGGATCCTTTTTTTTCCTTGCAGGCAAATGCATGAACCTCCATGCTAATATTAAATTAATAGCTGACCACTCTTAGATTTATTTACCTCTTTAATGAAGATACCTAGCAGGCGACATATACATTCCTTGAAGCACTCTAGTTCCTATTTTATTTTCACTAATATAATGATTATTGAAAAAAGACTAAGGTGCTCTATAGTGATCAGTCTATTCATTCATCTGTCTGTCAAATACACATATCCCTTGTTCAGAATACAGGTGACTCTAAATACTTCAAACTTTATATTTTTTAATAAGGTACATGTAGCTGCTTTGGAACATCTGAAAGGTCTATTACATTATCGCTAGTTTTACTAGTTTTCTTCATGTAAGTTGAATATATTTCAAACTTTTAAATTTTTATTTTTGCCAGGTAAGAAAGAAATTCAGGAGTTCTTAAATTGCCCTCAGAGTTCTTGGATTGCATCAAACTGCTAAAAGACCTCAACAAAAACAGTGTCTTGAAAAAAAAATGAAAATATTCAGTGAAAAAAAAATTATGAGAGAAAAAGCCACTAAAAATCTTCAAGCCTTTGAGCTGAAATCTGGAAGTCAATCTGTGGACTTTACTGGTATGTCTTACTAATTAAGTCATCATTTGTGTATAATAAATACACTAAACTGTAAACACTTGTTAAAATGTATATAATTTTTAGATATAATTTGTAGCTCACAGACATCAATAGTTTCATGTAATTTAAGTGATAATGAAAATTTCCTGTTGTCTGGCTAGATTAGAAACTATATATTATTGTCCAATTTTGGATATTGTGAAATAATTCATTTAGTAAAATTGGGTATGCATACATGTGTGTACACTTACATGTAAATTAATTGTTATAGCAAATTTAATCTATCATTAAGTTGAATGTTGACTAATGTTTTTCATCAAAATTGTTTACACTGAATTGTTTGTGGATTTTTCCATTTGCCCAATCATGTCAAGGAGCACATGGCAGAAAATGCTTTCTCCTCCATAGCACTTGGTGTTTTTAGAGGTCTGTGTTTGCTCTGCTCCAATTTTGTATTGTTTCAATGGACTTTAAAGCTTGATCACTTTTGGTAATCTTCATATTTTATATACTATTAGAGTACTTGAAGAGAACTGTAAAGATTTAACATACAGTATAATGCATGTATATTGCACTTTAAGTAGAGTGTATGTGGTTTAGAAATGTAATTCATCTCATAGTGCATTGAATTTGTTGAAAATTAGAAACTTTGTTGAAATTGTTTTAGAATAATGTTAGATTGCAGCTTTTTTTAAATCATGCAAGTAAGATATTGCTAAATATTCTTAAGCTTTTCTGGACAGTCTAGATGAGTTCTTGCTATATACCTAGCATTGTCATCCCAGTTAAAATTTAAGGAGCAAGGTTTATTCCTAAGCTCTAACTGGACAAACTTGCATGGATTAAAGCACATTAACAGATTTACTTCAGATGCTTGACCTGATCAACATTTTCTTCATGTGTTTTTTGTTTTCGTTTGTTTGTTGTTTAACATCCCTCTCAAGAATTTTTCATCCATATAGAGATGCCACTACTTACTGGTGGAGAGCTGCAAAATTTGACCTATACTTAGCACTCAGGGTCATTGAGCAATAAGGGATCTTTTTTGTGCCCACATCAACTGCGAGGTGGGACCTCGGTTTATACGGTCGAATCTGAAGGACTGGTCCCCACATCCCCAGTGGATCTGAACCTGAGACTTAAGGATTAAATCCTTACTTGCGAATCTAGATTACACACTCTAGCCTTTGCGCCACATGGGGGACTCCACAAGAGTAAGTGTTTTGAGCAGTCCTATTCTCATGTAATTATAAACTGTATGTTGAACAAACCTGCAAAGATGATGTATGTTAATGTTTCAGGGTACCAATCCTTGATTTGACTTAGATTTTCTGGATTAATGACCAGTTTTTTAGAGAAGGTTCATTCAAAGTAACAATATACTCTTTGGTGATCAGTAAACATAGATGATGCATCCTGCTTCTGATGCTGGATGTAACATACATTTTCAGGGTTATTGAGCAGTTAAATCTAACCCAGAACAACTTGCATAGATTTTGGATTCAGGTGATATACATTACCAGAGTGTTTGTTGAGTGAGACTTTGCCTTACTAGTGGATAACATTTATAGAAGTGAGCTTTGTATTCTTTGATTATACCATCAGTGCCAACTACCATACATTTTATATAATAGATGTAGCTGTTGTTCAACTGAATATGATAAAACTGTGGATGAAAATAATTTGATTTTTGTACCTTTGAATGTATTGAATTAATTTGTAAAAGCTGTTATGATACAAAGTTTGATATTTTATCAAAGTTTTTAGCATATGCAATCAATAAATGTATCAACATTTTTATTTTATTATACTTTTTACCCTGCAAACTTCTTAAAAACAGAATAGTAATGATCCATTCAACTGATACTAGGTTAGTGTCACACTGTACTTGTATATCATGTATATTGAACTGTAAATGAGAAACATCTAAATATGTCAAATCACAGCATGAATCATTGGATTATGTAAGAAGTGCACTATCTTGTGCTTTGGTATGGTATTAATAATAAATGTTAAACTATCATTTTTTTTCAAATTAACAAAGGATATGCTTGAGTGACTGTATTTTGACTAGCAGTAAAAATAAAATGATTTTGAAGCATTTGAATTATTTTGATTCATGGTCTCTGCAAGTTTAATGATAGCAAATATGTATATTGAACATGGCATCTACATATTGCTATACTGGATCTTAATCACAACATTGAAATTTTATGTAGTACATGTACTCTTGGTTTCAACTGGTCAAACATATTCTTAAATCACAAAGAAATTAAACAAATATAGGTATGATTCAGAACTTCATCAATTAGTTGGAAAGTGAATGCACTCAATGACTATATGGTTTAAAAGAAGCTGGGTATAAATAGCAGGAAAAACTACTTGATTTCCACTGTGAACTTTGTGTCCTCAACAAAACAATATGGAGTATACTATACTTGGTCTAAAGAATAATCTATGTCTGCATTCACTTTCAGGTTAAACTGTATTGGACATTGAGAGTTTGTTTGTTGTTTAACGTCCCTCTCGAGAATTTTTCACTCATATGGAGACGCCATCACTTGCCGGTGGAGAGCTGCAAATGACCTATGCTCGGCACACAGGGCCAATGAGCAGTGAAGGATCTTTTTCATGCCAGTATCTACTGTGACACTGGACCTTGGTTTGTACAAAGGACCGGTCTCCACGTCCCACAGTGGGATTCAAACATGTGACATAAGGATCAACTCCTAACACGGCAACTCTAGAGCATAGGCTCTTACCACTGCAACATGTGGGCGACAGCATTGAGAGTTAATTGTGGATATCAGAACAAGCTACTCTGGGCTTATACTCTCTATATATTGATTGATTGATTGATTGTATGTTGCTTAGCGTCCCTCTCAGGATTTTTTCACTCATATAGAGACGCCACCACATGCCAGTGGAAAGCTGCAAATTTTGTCCTATACTCAGCACTTACAGCCATTGAGCAGTGAAGGGATTTTTTCGTGCCAGCACCTACTGTGACACGGGACCTCGATTTATGCGGTCTCATCCGAAGGATCGATCTCCCCAGCCAACTGTGGGATTTGAACCTGCGATGTAAGGATCAACTCCTTACTTCTCTACTCTAGAGCAGACGCTCTAACCACTGCGCCAGGGGGGCAACTACTCTCTATATAAGTCACTTGTGCAATGACTTTAGTTTTATATTCAAGATTTTGTACTGATCATGTTGAGTCACATTAACACAAATATCTTTCTGCTGAGCTTGACCAATGACCATCCGCAAATATTCTGGTTGGAAACAATATGTTAATTAATCCATAATCAGTGAAATTACTATGAAAGAAAAATGGTCTACTTAAACCACAAGTTATATGTATAAAAGTATACACTGGTCTCCTTAAGTCATATGAGAGAAACATAAAATATTAGGGAGACCATTTTTTTCATATATTTTTAGGAGGCATTTATAATGAAAAAATAAAGCAAGAGTCGACTAAATGGTGTTCTATAGAACATTGATCTGGTATTTCTTTTTAGAAAAAAGCAAATTTAAAAAATCTGTATATTGTCTCCTTAAGCCATATATAATGTTCTGGTCTCCCTAGTCCTTAAATCAGAGTTATATATATATATATATATATATATATATATATATATATATATATATATATATATATATATATATATATATATATACAGTGTATATATATATATATATATATGACATATGGCTTTAGGAGACCAAGGAGGATATATTTTCTGGCTTAGGGAGACCACTGGATTAAGGCGACCTTTTTCGGTCTCCCTATTATTTTGACCTCATCAGTATTGCAAATGTCTTTTTATAGATAAATAAACAGTCTGCCATTAAATATTATTAATCTTTAACTCTGTTATTTAACATTCAAAAGTTGTCTAATTTCTATCATCTTCCCTAAAAAAGAAAAGAATTTATAACCTACGTATAATTTCAAAGGATAATTTTTCTGCATTTTGGAGACCATGAAAAACATGCAATTAAACAAAAAATCTAGCATATATATTTTTTCCGCTTTTGATTTGTTCAAATGAGTGTTTCTTTAACTTAGTTTTCCATGTTTTATGTTAAAAGCCTAAAAAGGAAAAATATTGTAAATTTATGAACCATGTTTTGAATTCTTAGCAAGTGCTTTCCGTCATTTGTTCCGAATGCCATCGGAATGCCCCTTCAGTTTTCAGAAAATGACCTCTGAACACCATGGATGTTGAGAAATTTGGGTAAGTAACTAAAATGATACAGTAATAAGTTGTAATTAAGAATACACAAGACAAACATTCGTTTGGGTTTTTTGTTGTTTTTTTTTTTTTTGTAATTTAGCTTTCAAGAGAAAATTAAAGTATGATTTTAAATAATCGTTAGACTATAGTTCGGTATATAGAATCCTGAAGGAAATTCGAAATAAAGTTAAATGATAGGCCCCTATATTTTTTTAATTCTTTTATGCAAGTCCACAAACAAATTAAATATTTAAAGATTAGGCCGAACGTTGAAAAAATAGTCTCGCAAGTTGACGCAGCTATTTCAAGCTTAAAAATTTAAATTAAACTTTCTGTAAACATCATGCAGGACATGTTCATCATGATATAGTATAAATGAAACAGACCCTGTAAGAAAAAAATAGCTGTAATTTAATAATTGTTTATTAATATAATGTGGTCCTCTGCTAATAGAATATATATGCTGTAAAAAAAAATCTGAATCAGGGTGAAGCAGATTTGATACAATACATGGCTGAAGGAAGGGGGGGGGGCAGGCCCCCTGTAATTTTGCTGAAATTTAGGTATACTATAGAAAACATTGCTCCTTTATGCTTGGGCCCCCTCAATAATAACCTCTGATGATCTATTTTTCTTTTGCTTTTGGGCCCCCTCAATAATAACCTCTGATAATGTATTTTTCTTTTGCTTATTAAAATTTTTTTTGGTTTGTAGCCTCCCCCAACCTGAAACTGAAAAATGTTGTTTGGTTGTGCTCACCCCCCCCCTCCAACTAAATTACGTACGGGCCTATTCTCCATCCCTGAGGTTTTCTTTCACCAAAGAAAGATGAATTGGTAACAGTTCAGATATATATAGCAATATTTACGGAAGGGAATATTCTCGTTTAATTATGAAGATGTGACAGTAACTCAGTCAAAGCCACAGTGAGTGTAACATTTATTTAATATTATTGTTAATGTTTACAAATAGTGAAATACTGATACTGTGAAATTTTAATGGATATATAGAAAATATAAAAGTACAAACATTTATTGTAAATCACATACATGAAAAGCTTCTTTTTTTAAGCAATTGGAAATTCTTCATTTTTTCATGAAATTATTTTATTTCGTATGTATGATAATTTATTTCGTATTTTAATTCTGTCAACAAATCATTGTCGCAGCCTAGTTCCCTTCATTATTTTCAGCAGTTCAGTGACAGAGATAAAATAATCATTTGAGGTTTATATCCCCCCCCCCCCTCCCCACCAAATGAAACTGAAAAATGTTTGGTTTTAGTCCCCTTCAACTGAAATTGATTCCTACTTACCATGCTTACAGGCTTAACTATGAAGATGTGACAGGGAGTGTAATAACAATAATTTTTCAGACGGATACATATTAAGCTGATATACATATAAAATTTTAATGGATAGATAGAAATTAATAAACAATTACAACCATTTATTATAAACTACATAAAGATAATTTTTCAAGCAATTTGAAATTCTTCATTTTTTATGATAATATTTTATTTCGTATATATGTTTATAGGTTTATCCGTATCAACAAATCTGTGTACGAGTTAATAACGCAGCCTGGTTCCCTGCATTTTCAGTGAACCACAGAGAACCAGAATAAGATTGTAGGGAAACAAGCCTTGTTACAAGGTTTGAGGTTTGTTTATTTTATATTTTAATTTACACTTTTAAAAATTATTATTATTATGCAAAAATCTGTGTGCAGATGAATATTTACATTTTAATGTTATAAGTCGTTTTGTGGTTCATATTTGCGGTGACTGTCCCACGTGTGTTTACCTGTTTACATTCACCTACTGACCTAGAGTCTTCAAAATATACCTTCTGTAATCATGACTGTTGTAATCTTGTTTTTATGTTAGTTTACCATATGTAACTTGACTGTTGTATAGATTTATAGCGATCACTGCAAGCTTTTAATATTTAGGTGAAGAGAAATTTCAGACTATCAATCACAGGCACTTGTTTCATATACGGTGCACCCCTACTTATTTTTACCACAAGGTATCTAACTCAATTTCAGGCACCCCCGCTTCAAGCTCGTATTTTGTTCATGTATCATTATCAATCATTAACCTACTTTAAAATGACATCGTTCGCTTCAAGAGACTTTTTTCTTGTCAAATAACTCGTTTCAGACATCTCTGGTCGAGTCTCTTTATTGTAAAGCACTCATTTATTCCACGAAAATTACCTCGATACATTTTAAGACTTTAGATTGGATACAACTTCCAGTTGGGGGTAGAATAAAACCAGAGACTTCAGCCCAAGTCAAAGTGGAAGGCAGTTCTTTAGCAGTTTTTTAACCTTAACAGTTCAGTGCTTTAGCAGTTCTTAGACAGTTTACTAGCCTTCTCCTCTGTTGGTGGCAGAAGGTTTTTGTCATACTGATCATTAGGCAGTTTTCTTAGCAGTCCACAATTTAAGCAGTACTTAGCCAGTTCATTAGCAGTAACTTAGCAGTTGCTTAGCAGTTTCCTTAGCAGTATCTTAGCAGTCAATAGGAAGGTTAAGGAGAACTGCTTAAAAACTGCTTAATAACTGCTAAAGGTGTTTTCTTTTGTTTGCTCTACTTATATGGAAATGACTCTGAGTGACCTACATATAAATTTGAAAATTGATTAACTGCTTAAAAACCGGTAAAAAGAATGCTATAAGTACTATTCTTGTCTACTTATAAGAAGATAACACCACCCATATACATGATATATGAATACAAAAATGCATATAATTTATGCTATTGAAAAAATAACATCACATATGGGAATTTAACTTAATTAGTATTGAGATTTAGATCAGGTATGAATTGTATTAAATAAGTCCTTTCATTAAGTCCATTTTCTTGCATAAACGAGTGGCAACTTTAGAGCTTGGTTAATTAATACAGTGGACTAATCTACAGATCCCTCTATCAGTATAGCTTAAATTTATCTGCAAATATTTTGAATTTATACTAAGTACTAATAATTAAAATACAAACTAGATTATACACTTTATAGTTTAACAGTTATCCAAATGAGAGTGGGGATGACTATTATATCACAAGCCCACACACTTACCATATTTTCTGAAGCATAATACTTTACTGCCAACAAATCTTTTAAAAATTTTCCTATATCACTCAATTCCATTGTTGCTGAATGCATGTATGATCAGATTTTTATAATAATGATTTCCCATCTCATGGAATTTAATTCAGATATACACTTGTCACTAAATATTATGTTCACATCCAATCCTGGATGTGGTGATCACAGATAATTGTATTTTCCAAAGCATATATTTTACTTCTTCACTGTATGGGTATAAATATATATAATATTCCAGACCATCACAAACATCTTCACAATTTGTAATTTTGAACTGATGTGGAAAAGGCGCACAAATCTTGACTGGCTTTCCTCATTGGATACAACCCTTTAGTTTCAAGCAACCAAGGGGGACACAGCAGGTTGTTAATGTAACTAGAGGACTGGATTTGCAAGTTGATGGGATAAAGATCAGAAGCTCATATGCTCATGCTTTTTATAATATGAAGCCTCAATTTATTATAAACTATTGTATCATATTTCTAGTAAGATTTTTAGTATATATTTTTTTCTTTCTAATTTTATTTTCTGTATAAGAAACTCCTGCCTGGCCCCCAATTATTTGTGACGTTATCATCAGGAAGCATTAACAGTAACACATGGGCAGTAATGAAGGCTAGTGAAAGTTAGGACCACCAAGAGTGAAAAAGTGTTGAATTACTTCTTATAAGAAGTCGAAATGAATTAGTTGCACTTTTAGCAGTTTTGAGAAACTGCTTGTTTGACTGCTTAAGTTTGTTCAATACTGAACTGCTTACACAAATTCTTAGCAGTTTTTTAACCAGTCTGTAAGCAGTTTTAAGGAATGCTAAGACTAAGACTGTTAAGAACTGCCTAAAAACTGCCAAAAAATTGCCAGACTGCCTAATAACTGTTTATAAACTGCTAAAATAAGCAGTTCACTTTGACTTGGGAGAGTATTCCATTCCGAGGTCTCTGCATGGTTTTATCCTTCATTTATAACCCCAACCGCATTTTTGTATCGAAAATTACCTTGATACATTTTAAGACTTTAGATGGGATACAAATTTCATTTTTTTCACAGGTCACGAGGTTTCAACTTAAAAAATAAAAATTCTCACTGTTAAGATATGTTGGAAATTTTAGCTTGATGTGTTGATAATTTGCCAAATTATTATGTAATAAAGGGGACTTTATATGATCACCCGGCGCTGTCGCTTTAGTTCAGTCTTCACAACAATTCTTTTTCAGCACATGCCCTTCGGGCATGTAGACCTATCATTTTTACCCAGCCCATTCAAATTTGTACATGTCCTACTCAAAATTCTTACATTTACCAGTATTGTGCAACAAAAAAAACCCATTAGGTATAAAGGTTTTATATTAATTTTTTCAGCGTCGTAAACCAACCATGGCCTGTGATTGCCATTTTCTAAAGCGTTTTTGTTCATAAATAACTTTTGAGTTGCATGCTGGTCATTTGTTGGCCGGTTTAGCTGAACTGAATTTCAGAAATGGGATCATGACTGTAGTGCCACAGTATGTGGCATGGATGAACATCTCGTAATTTAGCAAGCAACTTCGAGAAAACAAATAGGTTAAACTAAACACTTCAATGATTAGATTGACAATCATTTGACAGGTCGTATCGAGAATGTAGACAGGCAATCCATCGACATTACATATAGCAACGTTTAAGCGAATAATGGGGGTAGGACAGAGTAAATGGCAAGTAAAGATCGTACAATGAAAGAAGATTCACATATGCCCTCTTCGGACATGTAATTTGGCAATTTTTACAAGCCCGGCTGCAAATTTAACAGGTCCCTGGCATTGGACTCCCGGGTTATTTGGAAGACTGTTAGTTTAGTTTCATGAGGTCCGACAACATTGATTCTCAATGTCTGCTCCCTCTACCCCATACACTTATCTTGATAAAATTACATAAATTATATTATTAATTATATAAATTGATATAAATTATATAAACCGGTCTTGTTTATATAATTTTACAATGTCATAAACAGCTGCTTAAGTGCATATAATATTGTACTAAATGGATTTATATATAGGATTAGGGAAAGATCCTCACTTGATTATGGCAGCATATTTAGCCCGTAGGAGTTTATTATCTACCACACATGATCAATGTCACTTTTGGATGTGAATGACTTTTGACACCCTAACTTCAGTTCAAATCAACGTTAACTTTATGTGACGTCCCTCTGAATCTTTTTTGGCATGTAACTTGGGTAAAAACAATTAAGTACTCTTGATGCATTTGATTTCTCTTAGCCCGTTTAAACATATCCAAGGTCTGTACCAGTTTTTGCAGGGGCGAAACTATGTAGAAGTTGGAGAAACCCATCCCCTTTTTGACGTATTTGGTTTTCGAGGGGTGAAAATTTTCAATATTACACTCAACTACATGCAATATTTATTATATTATACTGAATGTTTTATACAAATACAAATAATAGTGAACCTTGAGCGCATAAATCTGTGCAGTCACTATTTTTTGGAATATCACCCGTCGTCAAGCAATGTTGACTGTTGTGACACTGGGCGTGGCTTCATTATTCAGCGGATAATAGTGCTTTTTAACAAATGTTTCTTGACGAATCAGATTAATTCATCTAATATACCTGAAAGTACAATATTAATTAATTGTCATCATTTTCCTATATTAGCATTTTTACTGGTAATGGTTTTGAAATGATAGGAACATGCACTGTTCAAAAAGTCTTAAAATTTTGTTTTGGCTCAATTTCTTTGTTAAATTACTGTGTTGAACTAAGGCAGGTCAATTAAAGTAACATGATCCTATAGATTCCATGTACATTTAGTACTGTAAAGTAGACAAATTTATTGTTCTCACAAGTAGTTCTCAAACATTGATTTAAGTTGGTCTCCTGAAGGATGTAATAATGCAATTGGTCTGCTTAAGGTATAGTGTATAATATAGACATGCATATTTATGTTCCCCAAACGAAGTTTGGGAACATATTGTTTTTACTCTGTTTCTTATTATTATTATTAAGGTCTTCCGTCTTCACGGAAGACCTTATAGTGATTCTACTGTTTCTTATTATTATTATTATTATTATTATTCTTTTTTTTGACAAAATTTTGTGCACGCGATTTCTCGAAAAGTATTCAGTCGTTTTCAATGAAACTTTCAGGAAAAATCAGTCATTGTATGAACTTTGTTCATCACAAGGAAAATTTGGAAAATTCCATTTTGGTTCCAAGTTACAGGCAATTTCCTGATTTTAAAATGAAATTTTGTCGCCCCTTTTTCTCAAGAATGGCTAAAGATATGAACTGGAGACTTATTGGAGAGCATAGAACGTGACTTCTCGATTTGCAGAATCGCCTTTTCGTTCGTCGTCGGCACTTCCGGTCGTTTACGGAAGTGATCAAAGAAATCGTAAAATTTCAACTTTCTTTTTTTAAATCAATACTTACATCACATTATTGCATCTCTTTTGTAGTTTCGAAATATGTTGGTCCCACCGGAAATAAAAACGTCAACTTCCGGTTATAAGAGAAAAACTACATAATTTGAGTATTTTTCTTTCCCATTAATATCCTTTGTAGATAAAGTATTTGAAATGAATTTTAAATATGTTATTTAGACTGCAAATATCTAGAGTATTGTCAAATATCTTTGTAAAATTCACTTCCGGTCGCGTGTTTTCCTGTCCTCAAATTGAGAAGTTGTCTGAGCAAGATCTCGGAAAGGGTGAGAGATTAAGACACCAAACTTATATGAGGAACAGACCTTAAGATGTAGGCAAAACCATTTGGGTTCAGAGCGTCAGCCGTCACTTCCGGTCGTAACAGGAAGTGATCAAAGAAATCGAAAATTTCAACTTTTCTTTTTTTAATTAAAAATTGCATCACTTTATTGCATCTTTTTCTCAGATTCGAAATATGTTGGTCCCACCGGAAATAAAAACGACAACTTCCGGTTATAAGAGAAAAACTACATAATTTGAGTATTTTTCTTTCCCATTAATATCCTTTGTAGATAAAGTATTTGAAATGAATTTTAAATATGTTATTTAGACTGCAAATATCTAGAGTAATGTCAAATATCTTTGTAAAATTCACTTCCGGTCGAGTGTTTTCCTGTCCTCAAAATGAGAAGTTGTCTGAGCAAGATCTCGGAGACGGTGAGAGATTAAGACACCAAACTTATTTGAGCAACAGACCTTAAGATGAAGGCAAAACCATTTGGGTTAAGAGCGTCAGCCGTCACTTCCGGTCGTAACAGGAAGTGATCAAAGAAATCGAAAATTTTAACTTTTCTTTTTTTAATTAAAATTTGCATCACTTTATTGCATCTTTTTCTCAGATTCGAAAGATGTTGGTCCCACCGGAAATAAAAACGTCAACTTCCGGTTTTAGGAGATAAACTACGTTATTTTTATATTTAACATTCTCATATATATTGCTTATCGATAAAGTACTTGAAATAATTTTATGTATGTTGTAGATACTGCAAATGTCTAGAGAAAAGTCAGAGATTTTTATAAAATTCACTTCTGGTCGCGTGTTTACCTGTCCTCAAAATTAGAATTTGTTCTAACAATATTGCTCGGCAACAATAAAGGACTGAAGTCTAAAACTTTCAGGACTGCTAGTCAGTCATCAGTTTATTTGAATCGTGAGAAAATCTTGTATCCCCGTTACTTCCGATCGTGACAGGAAGTGATGCAAAAAGGTGAATGGTTAATGGTTAGCACGTTGGATTTTCACGCTGACGACCAGGGTTAAATCTCCAGGATGTCTGAATTTCTTTTATCACTTTTTAAGCTTGAATTTTCGTTTTTATTTTCAGAATCGGACGGAAGACCTCTCATTGCTCGCAATGAGTTTCTAGTTATTATTATTATTATTTTTCTTCCTGGGTACTTTTTTGTCCGTGAGTGATCTCCGAAACTACACATCCGATTGAGGTGAAACCTTTTTAGGGTTACTAGGCATGTTATGTAGATTTGCGGAACGAAGGTCATTTTGCGCGCACGCGCATGCACGTGCGTGCGCGTGCAATGCGTAAAATGACCAATATACTTGAAATAGCTGTAACTTTTATATTTTTTGATGAAATGCTTTGATACTCAGAATATAAGGATATATTAAAAGTATGAACAAGATGACATG